CCCTCGGCGCGGGCGGCTGTCAGCGTCCGCCCGGCCGCGTCGGTCCCGCTGAGGGCTGAGGCGGTGGGAGCGGGGGGGGGGGCGCTACCTGTGCCCGGGTCCAGACCCCACACCAGCAGCAGCAGCAGCAAGGGCAGGACGAGGGGCGGCAGCAGGACGCCGTCACACATGGTACCGGGGACCCGCAGCCCCGCGGACCTCGGCGGCGGCGGCGGCGGAGGAGGAGGAGGAGAAGCAGCGGCGGCGGCGGCGGCGCCAGCCCGAACTGCAGCCCTGCGAAGCCTTTGGAAAAAAGTAATTAGCGCTGCGGACAAACCCAACGTGGTAAACCCCAAGCCCCGCCTTCCACTCGGAAAGCGGTAGGTGATTGGGCTGTTGCAACCTTCCGCCCCGCCTCCTGCTCCCCTATTGGTTAGAAAACTGGTTGAGCCCAAAGTACGTAGTTAGGTTGTAAGCACTTTCTTACACGTGGTTTCTGGGCAGTAGCCGAGTCGTTCCACTAGGTGGCGGGCGCCAGCCAGCTGGGGCTGAGACCCTGGAGGGGCCTGGGGGACCCCTGCAGGCCAGGTCTTCAGTTTGTCCCCATTTGGGGAAGTGACCTCTAAGGCTCATTTCTAGCTACCCAAGAAGACAAGCCAGAAGTCGAACCAGCCAGCTGGTTCCATGCAAATACGCATATTCTCTCTGCATCTACAGTAAAACCAGTTTTGATTTTCTTGCAGCTGGAAAGCCTTGACAGCTCAGATTCCTGCGCACGTGAATTCCTACCAGATTCCTATTATCTTCAGTGTTTTTAGCCCAACCCCTCACACTTCCTGTGAGACGTCGAGAAAATGGGCATGATCTCTTCCAGACTGAGAAACATAAGGAGCTTGCTTAAATTACCTGGAGAGTTCCTGTTGGGTTGAAGGCTAGAATTTGTAGTCTTGATTTCCTGCCAAGCACTGCTCACTGCTAACAGCAAGAATCCTGGGAGAGAGGCAAGGAGGAGAAGGAGGTCGATTTTATGAGTCAGGAGAGGGGAAAACTGAGTAGAAAAACAAATTGAACCCAAGCAACAGAATTTCCCTATAAGAATACAAATAATGGAGGAGTGCAGGTAATTCTGTACAATGAGGCCTGCAGGTTATTCTTTGAAAGTCTTGAAGAATAGCTAGCAACTAACATAACATGACATGATTAAGCGGGGCGTCGTGGCTCAGGCCTAGCTACTCAGGAGGCTGAGATCTGGTTTAACTTTCATCAACCAGCAAAATGTCTAGCTGGAGACATGGCTCAAGTGGTGAAGTGCCATCTGTGAGCAAGAAAGCCAAGCAAGAGTGCAAGACCCTGAGTATAAGTCTCGGGCTAGCACCAAAATGATAATAATAATAATAATCTTGATTGCTAGTATCCGAAACTCATTGAAATCACAGGCAAACAGAAATGAGGGAATCTTATAACTACCTCAGGAGGCTGAGGACCTAGTGACTACATGTGGTCCTGACTCATAAGGGAGCAGCAGGGACATGATTTGGAGAAATGGGGCTGTTTGGGGCTCCCTCTGTCACTGTCCCAGGTCTACAGCCAGAGTGGAGCCATGGGACAAGGAGTCACAGCTGAGACTATGCCCTGTCTCCAGGTATCAATCACCCCCTGGGGGCACCTAGAGTTCCCCACTTCTATCCCTCTCCACAGGACAGGCTGTCCTGACCCTTACTCATCTCCAAAGCCTTTGCTCAGCATGCCTCTCCCCTAAGCCTGGACAGCAACTCTGCTGTAGGTTCCAGGACACCCTGGTTTCTCCAGCCAGCTTCCTGGGGTGTCTCCCCCACCCTCTCAGGGACCCTTCTTTCCAAGGTGGAATGTCATCGTCTTTTGATCGCCAGGAATCATCCTTCTTCATTTTCGCTGAGGATGCTGAGGTACATGATCCTCTTACTATCTCGCCTGGAGCGCCCACCCTGGGCTGTGTGCCTCTCACTCAGTCCCTGGCCATCTCTGCTGCAGCACAGCTTGAGAAACACAAGGATGTTGTGGGACCTGGAATGTCCCAGGGGCCCAGACTCAAAAGAAAGAAGAATAGTTGTGTCAGGCTTGCATGGATGCCAGTTGAGAGGCCTCCAGTGCCCCTTGGCAATGGGGCAGAGCTTGGAGAAGCACCATCCAAGGCACCCAGGGCTGAGACAGCCTGTAGTCAGCGCAGGTCCTATGCACCAGGAAGGACCCCGACGACAATGGACCACTGCTGAGTTTCCAGTGACTGAGGGGATCTTTCTACCACTTGCAGTGGGAGTGGGGCCCAAGTACCTGGAGCCTTTTGTTTCAAATCCCAAACCAGCTGCCAAGGACAAGTATCTTCCCAGCTCTGGCTGCGATGCTTATTTATCTCTGTCCCACCATCTCCTATCCTGCACGCTCAAAAAATTCTAGATTTTTTTTTTTATTCCCCGCTTAGGGAATCCCATTTCTTAAAAGGAACTTGCGCGCCACCTGGTGGAAGATTTTATTAGCAAGCAAGACAAGGTTGGTTTGGATAACGCAGCCTAATGAACGGAAGTTGCTCAGACATCAGCACAGATGGATGTGTCAATTGATGAACGGTTTCTGCCCAGGACCAGAAGCTGTTGCACAGTGAGAGAGAGGCTGGGTCATTTGGTTCTGACACTGAGCATTGGCAGAACCAATGTTCGTGGGGGGACTCAGGGAGGCCAGGGGCTGAGGATCTGAGCCAGACATGGCCACCATGGTGAGGACCAACTTCCAGGAAAACTGCCAAGTTCAACAGCCAGCTCTACAATGGGGTGATTCCATGCTAAGCCTAGTAGGGGGTGGGGCCCCATTTAAACTTCAGGTGGGAATACATGGGCCTCTTTGCACAGGCTCTGTAGGTCCTGCGTTCTGGCTGGGCCCTGGCTGTGACAGGAAAGGGCAAGGGCCTTTACCGTACTCATGAGAACGACACCCCAGCTCAGGTGAGGTGAGCTCAGGTCAGCTGAGCCTGGGAATGCTTACAATGAAACTATTTTGTCAGTCACAAAAAAAATAATGCTTCACAAAATCATCGTGATGGGGGGTAGTTTTGAAAGTAATTTAAACATTCTGCATCGAAGTCTTTCATCAAATATGTGGTTTGAACATTTGCCTCTACAATATCATCTTTCTAGCTTCTAGAAAGCCCTTTGCAGAGCTAAATTTTTAATATCCAACCAATCAGTTTTCCCCAGAGATTTTGTTTTTTTTTAAATTCTCCTTTAGAAGTTTATAGTCTTAATCTTAACATTTTGGACTGAGTTTTGTACAGCTGTGGTGTTTGGGATGAGGTTTGTTGTAAAGGCTCTCCTGCCGATGCTGAATTGCTTTTACATGTTTGCAAAAGAAATTGAGCGATTAAAAAACTTCACTTGCTCATATTTGTATGGATGTGGTTTTGTTCTCTCTTCCCACCCTTTCTCCCTGCTGAGAATCAAATCCAGGCCCCTTGCATAGACTAGGGACCAGGGAAGTGCTCTACCAGTAAGCCATACTCCCAGCCAAGGAATCTCTGCTCCATTCTTGGGACGACCTAAATATCCCTTCCTCTGCCAATGCCACATTACCCGACAACCACCTCTACATTAATCCTGAATACTGGGAAAGTCATCCCTCCCATTCGCCTTTTGTTCAAGACTTTTTGAACTATTCTAAGGGGCATACTTTGCCAAATATATTGTAGAGCAAGTCCTCGATTGTCTACAAACAAAACATCTACTTTGGCCTGTAGATTATTTAGAAGTACATTGTTTCATTTTTTTCAATCTATGAAAAATTTCCTCCTTTTGTTACAGTTTTGTTGAATTTCACTGTGATTTATGATTGTATAAAGTCTGTATTATTTTAAACCTTTAAGACGCTTTAGGACTTTTTGCGTGACCATTTCCATGCTGTAGTTTGGTAAGTGCTTGATGTACCATTGAACACTATGTATTCTGTGCAATCTGTGCACATTAATTATGTTGAGTTTGTTAATTTTGTTACTCAAATCTATTATTACTGGTTATTTTTTTGGGGGGTCCAGTCGTGGGGCCTGAACTCTGGGCCTGGGCGCTGTCCCTCAGCACTTCAGCTCAAGGCTAGCACTCTACCACTTGAGCCACAGCGCCACTTCTGGCTTTTTTTTCCTGCTTATGTGGTGCTGAGGAATCGAACCCAGGGCCTCATGCATGCGAGGCAAGCGCTCTACCACTGAGCCAACTTCCCAGCCCATTACTGGTTATTTTTTTGCCTGTTCATTCTATCAGATACTTAGAAGTGTGTATAAACCTGCCAAATGTGATTATGAATTTGTCCCGTAACTCCTGTGGTGGTTTGGTTTTTTGTGTACTAGACTTGAACTTAGAGCTTCAAGTCCTTGCTTAGCTTTTTTCCTCAAGGATATCATTCTATCACGTGAGCCACACTTCCACTTCCAGCTTTTTGGGTGGTTAACTGAAGATAAGAGTCCCATGGATTCTCCCCTCTCCCCTCCCCCTTGCTGGTTTCAAACAGTGATGCTCAGATCTCAGCCTCCTGAGTAGTAAGGATTACAGGGGTGAACCACATGCCCAACCACATGGTAATCTTTATCTTTCAACTTGCAGCATTTCTTTTTCATGCTATTTACAGTAAATCTCCTGTAAGCAAAATACAATTAAGATTCTTAAGAATCTAAGATGGAATTCTACTTTCTGTTGTGGTAAAAAGCCAAGCCAGAGCACAAGTACTGGGAAAGAAAGAAAGAAAGAAAGAAAGAAAGAAAGAAAGAAAGAAAGAAAGAAAGAAAGAAAGAAAGAAAGAAAGAAAGAAAGAAAGGAAGGAGGAAGGAAGGAAGGAGAGAGAGAGAAAGAAAGAAAGAAAGAAAGAAAGAGAAGGGAGGGAAGGAAGGAAGGAAAAGAAAGAAAGGAGGGAGGGAGGAAAGAAAGAAAGAAAGAAAGAGGGGAGAGGGAGGGAAGGAGAAGGGGGAGATGAGGGGGAGTTAGGAAGGAAGGAGGGAGGGAGGGAAGGAGGAAGAGAGAGAGAGAGAGAAAGAAAAGGAAGGAAGGAAGAAAGAAAGGAAGGAAGGAATGAAGGAAGGAAGGAAGAGGTAGGCATTACCTCACAGAGATCCACAATCATTTCTGAAGCCAAGCAAAGCCTGTGCCCAATCTATTCAGACACCATGCCTGAGGAAGTTTATTCTTGTTTTATTTTAAGACATTCTGATGACAACAGTATTGGTGGCACTGTGGTCTAGAATTTTACAAAATGACCTCATAGTCCAGAGTCCTTGTGTGCTACAGAAGAGAGGTTATCTGTAAAATGGATCCCAGCGTGCTGCAGGGTGTCACAGAAATGCACGCTACCCCTCCTGACACAGTTCAGTGCCCCCAGCTGTGTGACAGATGCGTGCAATCGGTGTGTCAGTGTTACCTTCCACAACCAAAGGAGCCACAAGAAATCAGAAATAAATCGTTTTTTGCCTTCAGCGAGAAGAGATTCAGTGTGGAGCTAAGAACGGAAAGAAATCAAGGAAAAACACGGTGAACTTGTAACATAACAAATATCTTTGTTTAACCTTCTCCCACCCTTATAATAATATAATATTAATAATAAGTCAACAGCTCTGCTCTAAAGTGAGCAGACATTTTGGACACTATATAAATTGTGTGTGTGTGTGTGTGTGTGTGTGTTGTACTCACAAGAGCACACAGTACACAGAGAAAACTTGAGACTGTGTGTATTATTCTTCCTACGATTCTTCAACAAGGGATTTTGCTGGAGAAAAAAAAAATCCTGAAGGGTTTCAGCCTGGATGTGTTGGAAACATATTTGTATTAAAACCCCAACCCCTCAGAGCTTTTCAGTGTGTGCAGGGCTGTCTCTGCTTCAGGAGCAGCTAGCCTGCTCTGGTGGGAACTGGTTATGCAGCTCCACAGTCCCCCCGCCATCCTGGGGGTGCTCACAGTATGGCTGCAATGCACGAGGAAGACAGCAAAAGTGGACCAGACGGGGAGAGGCTGGGGCTAAGTGGCGGCCATCCAGGACAACATGCTCAGGACATGGGTCCCCCAGAGTGACTAGACCACAGAAAGGAGGGCAATGAGCATGAGTTCGAGTCTCCCCCACCTCCTTTTCCTCCTAGAGGGCCGGCCAGCCACCCAGAGTGCAGCCATCCATCTAGCCCTGCCCTTGCTGGGGGGGGGGGCTGTGCCCCACCATGACACCTGCTTGGGCTGAGAGTGGAGATTCTGTCCCCACAGGATGGTGCCAGCCCACGGGTGACACAGCGCTGCCAGCCTGAAGGTAGTAAGGCTAGGCTTGCTGACCCCTCTTTCAGTGACTACAGTGCCCCAGGGCTGAGTTCCAGCCCATGGGGGGCTAATGAGTGAATATGACCAGATCCAAGCAGCCTCTGGCCCAGAAGCTCTGACCCGTCAAAAGGAATGTTTTAAGACTGCGCCCTTCCTTCTGCCCAAACAGTTGGATTAGGGAGCACATGGCGTGCCGGGGGGGGGGCAGCTGACATTTGTCCCATGGAGGCCTGAGGAGCTGCCACCCCCACCGAGAGCTGAAGCCCCTGCCCCGACTCCTGGCTCTGTCCCCCTGTCATCTGTGGCTTCCTTCACATGGGCCAAACCACCCTGAGCACAGGCAAGGTGGGAAGCTGAAATGACCAACAAAGGGACCTTCAGCAAGTCAGAAGTCTCAAGTTCAAGCGCTCGGATGCACTGGGTTGGAACTGAAATGGGGCTCCGGAGGAATCCCTGACAAGCCTGAGTTCTAACTGCAAGAAAAACCCATGCACATGCTTACATTTAACATTTCACACTGGTTAACAACATCTCTGGAGGAAAGGAGGGTTAGAAAGACCTGAAGGGCAGGAGCTGGCGGTGAACACCTGTAATCCCAGCTATTTGGAGGCTGAGGCAGGAAGTCTGTGAGTTCCAGGCCAGTTGGGCAACAGAGGAGATCACCCCCAAAAGAAAGAAGGGCACACCGGGGTCCCGGTGGGCCCTGTCAGCCCTGGCGATGGAGGGGACCTTCCGGCCCCCCGCAGTCCGTGCAGCCCAGGTGTGGGGACTGCGTGTGCTTCAAGCTAACGGCTGTGCTGACCATTGGGAATGAGGTGCCTGCCGGCCCCAAGTCCATTCTTCACACACTTTATTTCTTTGCTCTTGGTGTCCTTTTCCTCTTCCTCCTCATCTTCCTCTTCCTCTTCATCATCACTCCTCACATCCTGGATGGTCTAGATGGAGGGAAGAATTGGCTGTGAGTGGAAACCTTCCAGAAAGTCTTGAGGTTAGAGGTGTGACTCCCATTACAGAAGACCCCACAGCCAAACATCCACACCTCAGAGCACAGCGCGGGTCTCAAACACTCCTCGGCAGACTAAAAGAACCCAAATTATACATACCATATTGTCAGACCACAATAGAATGGAGCTGGAAGAGCAACAGTGTCAAAAAGGTAATAGAAAAATCTCAGAACTGGGGAAAATTTAATACCACTCTTCTAAAAAATCAGTGGGTAAAAAAGATAGTCTCAAAGAACATTAGAAAAATATTTTAGGGGCTGGGAAGGTGGCTCAGTGGTAGAGCGCTTGTCTTGCATGCATGAGGTCCTGGGTTCGATTCCTCAGCACCACATAAGCAAAAAGAAAAAAGCCAGAAGTGGCTCTGTGGTTCAAGTGGTAGAACGCTAGCCTTGAGCTGAAGAGCTGAGGGACAGCACCCAGGCCCAGAGTTCAGGCCCCATGACCGGACCACCCCCCCCAAAAAAAAGAAAGAAAAATATTTTAAACTAAATAAAAATAAAACTACAACATAACTAGTCACAACCAACCATATGAAAAAATACTGGCTTAGATATGCTAGAAAAAAATAAAGTTGTTCTAATCAACTGAAATCACAAAAGGTTAAGAAAAGATATCAAATACAGTCCATATTCTATACACAAACAACCACCAAAAATAACCCAGAACAAAACATTTCACAATGGTGAATACCTTCCAGCCACTAAAATACTTAATAAAAGTAAAAAAAAAAAAATGAAGATGGGCACCGGTGATGCGTACTTGTAATCCTAATTCACAGGAGGCTGAGATTTGAGGGTCACAGTTCGAAGCCAACCTGGGCAGAAAAGTCCATGACACTCTTCTCGTCAATTAACCAGCAAAAAGCCAGAGAAGCTGTGGCCAAAGAGAGCCAGCCTTCAAGAAAAAGCTAAGGAACGCCTTGAGTTCAATCACAGGTAGTGGCACATCTCCCCCCACATACATAATTTTTTTTTTAGAAAAAGGAACTTCAGGTATGATTGGGTTAACCGAGAGAATCCCCCAATGGCATAAGCCTTTCTACATTTTCCTGACTGCTCTTTATGAAGAGCTAGAATTGATTTGCCGATGATTGGCAAAGTAATGACAATGAAGATAACTAAGCAAAGTCAAAGGTCTGAGGATGACCCTGGACTGACGACACAGAGAGGGACGCCGTGGGCCAGGGTCAGTTATCTGTTGAGGGTGGTACTGAGGAGAGCACCACTGCCGCACAGGATTCCTGCATGCAGGTCTCACTGTCGCGTGACCCTGGGTGGCTTGGCACATTCTCCACCCTGTCCCAAGTCTGCTCTCTGCCTCTGTAACCCAGGCAGTATAAGAATGGCTTCTCACAGTGACCACGAGACTTCAAGTCAGCATGCACAATGAGGCATACCCAGCACAACACCACGACCTTGAGCAAGGGAAAAGGGTCGCGTGGACCATGCAATGGCCTTCTAGGATTCGATTTCCTTGTAGAGCTGAGTGCATAGTAGAGAATAATATTCTAATTGGGAATCTGTGTGTGTACATGTGTGTATGCACGTGTACAGGTATGTACACGTGTTCTAGTACTGGGGCTCAAAACCAGGGCCTGGAGTTGTCCTCTTTTTTTTTTTCATTCAAGGTTGGTGCTCTACCACCTGAGCCACAGCTCCACTTCTAGCTTTTTGTTGGTTAACTGGAAATAAGAATCGCAAAGACTTTTCTGCCTGGGCTGGCTTTGAACTGTGATCCTCAGATCTCATCTCGGCATCCTGAATAACTTACAGGCATGAGCGACTGGTACTTGGTTCAGATTTGTAATCTTTTAAGCCAATCATTTTAGCAGTGTTCTGTCATTCTGTTTCTAAACTCCACTCATGTGCATAAGGTTGAAGAATATAGAAAAATATACGCGGAGCCCATGTTGGTAATGCTTCTCTTTGGTGGTCAGTCTCCGTGGGACGTTCAGTGAAGCGCAGTTTTCCATCTGCACTGGAACAAGGCTCGGAGGCCTCCTGGGTGTTAGGCCGGCTTCTTCCCGGGCACCCTCACGTCTGAGGATGGAGCGTGAGTCATCCGGTCAACTGGAAAGCTGCACTAAGGCCTGGCTACAGGCCAAACATTCTCACACCTCACGCCAGCTGCTGCACCATCTCCGGCTTATGCCAGACAAAGAGGCTTGACTGGGAGCCAACCGCCAAGCGAGGGGGAACCTGCCTAAGGAGTGATGAGGAGGAGGAGGCCTGTATCTTGTGCCTGACACTGAAGCCCGGTATCCTACAAGGCAGATACTAATGCCGGCCCCTGGTTACAGGTGAGGATATTAAGACAACTAGGCAGTGATCACTTAGCCAGGAGGAGCACTGGGGTTGGACTGTGCACAGTCTGTACTGTTAGCTACCTCTTGGCTTTGCTCGGAAGTGATTTGGGAGGGCCCAGACACATGGCTCAAGCCGTTTAATCCTAGATATCTGGGAGGTGGAGAGCAGGGGGCTGTAGATGTGAGGCCAGCTATGGCAAAAAAGTTAGTGAGATCCTGTCTCAGAGCATCGGCTCCAGCTGTACAGAGGCAAAACTGTTAGCTGCTATCTGAAAAATAACTAAAGCAGAATGGATGGGTGGCTCAAGTGGTAAAGTGAAGCTTTCAGTTCAATCCTCAGTACAAAGAAGAAAGAGGAGGAGGGGTGAAGAGAGGAGGAAAAGGAAGAAGAAGAGGAGGAGGATGCTACAGAGAAGGAGAAGAGGAGGAAAAGGGGGAGGAGAAGATTTGGGATTAGAAAACAACTAAACAGTTTAAAGTAAGTTAAACATGTGCTGAGTCTTAATCACTTCTTCTAATCTCTTATTACTGAGCTTGTCTGGCAGTCTTCTTTTTTTTTGGGGGGGGGGGGTTGGGTGGGCGGTCCAGTCATGGGGCCTGAACTCTGGGCGTGGGCTCAGAGCTCTGGGCCTTGAGCTCTTCAGCTCAAGGCTAGCACTCTACTACTTGAACCACAGCGCCACTTCTGGCTTTTTTTTTTGCTTATGTGGTGCTGAGGAATCGAACCCAGGGCCTCATGCATGCAAGGCAAGCACTCTACTACTGAGCCACCTTCCCAGCCCATGGGCAGTATTCTTGACTCCACCCAATTATTTTAAATTAAGTTTTTGCCCTTCACTTGAAGACTGAGAGTAAAAGGGGAAGTACTCCAGTGAAGAGGCGCCAGTTGCCTTGGCTCTGCCTGGAAGCCACTGTGGAAATCTGGCCTGGGCTTCTCTCTGCTCGTGCTCACTGGCATGCCTCTTTCTTTGACTGAACCAGTGTGGGACAGTCACACGTCCCTCCAGGAGCTGGAGAGACATTGCCTGCCAGGTGCAGTTGGCTGGGGCAGGTTGCTAAGGAGCCTGGGTCTCCATCCAGGCCTCGGTGGCTGTGTGCTGGGCTCCTCCTGCAGGCTTTGGCTATTCAGCAGTGTATGATGTCACAGAGACACACTGCAGTTGGCCAGGACCCAGGGTGACATTTAAGAAGAGGAAAATAAAAGCTTAGGGATGCTGAGGTCTCTTTTAAGTACTATGAAACAAAAGTGTATTGTGCTCCCTCTCATTTCGTCCAAGCGTGCTTGTCGTGTTTGCACAGGTGACTCTGTCAGCCTGTCGTGTCTCCTGACGGGATGTGTGGGTTGCTCATTCATCATAAAGCCACCCATTTGATAGGAACCCTAAGTGGCAGCCAAGTCTTGCTTTCAAGCGAGCAGCAAGCTGCCAACGGAGCAGGGCCTGTACATGCCAGTGTCCTGAAGTTAGAGTGATGTTACTTTAAGATATTCAGGACTGCAAGCAAATGGAGGAAGTTTCTCATTCATCATGTATATGCGAGGGAAAATAAGATGTGACTGTTACTTAAAAATATATGCTAGCTTTATGAAATACAATCATTTCTTCTTTGAAGTCTGCTGTACAAATCCATAGAGGCCAAAAAACGATTCATCAATCCTTTTGTAACTTCCCACCTACACAAATTACTTATTCATTTGTACATTCAAAACTGTTTACCCAATCTCTGTGTTTAAGGATTCAAAATAGCCTTTTTTTGGTAGGGGGGCCATGGTCATTATTTTTTTTTAAGCATCCAAGAATTAGTCACTTTACTAACAACTAAAGCTGTGTTAAATGCTAAGTGTTTTCTCAGCAGTTGGAAACTGATTTACTTGTTTCTGTAAGAATCTCAGCTCCTGCCCCATGCCTCTCCTCTCCTTTGCAATCCAACTCTGTCTTCAAACACCATTCCTTAGACCAAGGCTTTATGGCTTTGGAGGGGTATGCTGATTTCACAGCCAGCTTTGCCACTGCTGCCGAAAAGAGAGGGGCTGTGCAGGCCAGCCGCAGTCATCCAGACAGTGAGGATTGTGGCTGCAGGCCTCCATTACCGCAGTCAAGTTCAACTGCAAATGGCTTTGCTGAAGAAAGCAAAGACTCTTGTCCACAGCTCACCAGGCCACTGGGTTTCTAATCAGGCCTGGTGTGACCCACGAGAGATTAGCAATGTGCAAATCACAATGGAGCCAAACAAGTTTTCAAGTGTTACTCCTTGGGTCCCTTCCAGGCCTATAATTACTGTTTTCCATCAGCTAATGAGGGGGCAGTCTTTTGTGGGGCCAGGAGATCCAGGAAGGCTTGACCCAATGGAATGACAGGTCTAGCTGAAGGTCCTCCCCTTATACTAACTACTGAAGGCACAAATGGTCACTTGCCAGCAGTTACATACACACCATGTTTTCAGAGATCACGAAACAAGTTGAGAACTTTCACGGACTAGAGTTCATGAACGGACTTCCATGAAAGTTCATTTGCTTGGCACTCCAATTGCTTAAGAAAACAGGCTCATGTTAGGAATTTAGTTAATTATATTGAGTTGATTGAATGTGGCTGATTTTGTATACCTCTGTTTAGATCTAGAAGCTGAGTGATGGCCAAAACAAACAACCCAACAAAGCATCCAGGGAACAATGACTGATATCTACTTCACGTGTCAAACTTCAGTGGTCTTTGAGACGTGTTTACTACCGAGGTAGAAAAATGAATCCATCAGAAACATGCTCAGAAATTGAATTCAGTTGAGTAAATTATCAGGCATCTTGTTACATTAGAATTCTCATTCTGACACTATCACCATGCTGTGTTATAGAAAAAGGTGGCACCCCAGAATAGACCAGCTACAATTTTCAACTTGAAAGATACTTCACTGAAACTCTCCTCAATATATGACTTTCAGACAAAAGAGAAGTGAGATCTGATCTTCTTTTTTTACTTGCTGTCAAGGTACAACCCATCACTCCCTGCACCTTATCCTCGGCTCCTGAGCCAATGGAGTCACCTTCACCTTTCCTTCTGCAGCAGGTCATTTACCCCATGCCATTCTGTACATTACAAGTCATTGGTTAGTAATAGGTGAGATTTCCCCACTGCCTGGTGGCCATTCAGTGATCACCTCTTCTTCACTCCCTATTCTGAGATTTGAGCCTTTTACTCATTAGCATAAGAGAGCAAATGCTGACATCAGGGGATTCTTTAAATAGCAGCAATCATAATTTTGGATTTCAAAATTTGAAAATTTGTTTTTCTAAGTGTTGTAGATTGTACCCCCCCCAGCCTTGCACATGCTCTGAAAACACCCTAGCACTGAGCCTCTAAAAGCAATTAAAAGTACCTTAGTGATCTACTTATGAAAAATATAGGCCTATCATAGAGAAAAGTTTTTTTTGTCAGTTGTGGGGCTTGAACTCTGGGCCTGGGTGCTGTCTCTGAGTTCTTCAGCTCAAGGTGAGCATTCTACCTCTTGAGCCACAGCACCAATTCCAGTTTTCTGGTGGTTTATTGGAGATAAGAGTGTCACAGACTTTCCTGCCCAGGCTGGCTTTGAACCATGATCCTCAGATCTCAGGCATGACCCACCAGTGCCCAGCTAGAGAAAAATTTTATCAATAATAAATAGTAGTTCTGTGGCAGAATCTTGCCTAGCAAGTACAAAGCCCACAGTTCAATCCACAGCACCAATAAAAAGAAAGAATTCTGATTAAAACTATGGATTAATTTAGCATTCCACTAGCTAGACCTCACTTTTAATCCATCAATAATTGAAGTATTCAACTTAGGAGTAGTAATACTTGAACAGCCCTTACCTCCATGAATATGCATCTTTTGAGCATCTTCAAGATGAAATAGCCCCAGTAAAGGTGAAGGACTTGAAGGAGAAGGAGCTGGAGGTTGAGGAAGACGTACGAAAAGAAAGGATCAAGGTAATGCAAAGGCAGAATAATTGTGCAGTACAAAATCCTGGAAAATAAGACAGGCGGGAGAATTTTGTCATGGTCAAAGCACTCACAGATCTTCAACAAGGACACAATGTCTGGCGTCTGTATTAGGGCTTGAACTCAGGGCCTTGTGTTCTCACTTGTCTTTTTCCCCTCAAGACTGGTGCTCTACCAGTGAGCCACAGCCCCACTTCTAGCTTTCTGCTAGATAACTGGAGATCAGAGTCTCATGGACTTTTCTGCTTGGGCTGGCTTCAAACCACGATCCTTAGATCCCAGGCTCCTGAGTAGCTACGATTACAGGTGTGAGCCATCACTGCTCAGCCTGTTCTAATTCTTTATTAAAACCTAAGTTTCAGCTGGGGGCTCACACCTGTAATCCTAGCTATTTAGGAGGCTGAGATCTGAGGATCATGGTTCAAGGCCAGCCCGGGCAGGAAAATCTGTGAGACTCTTATCTCCAATAAATCTCCACTAGAAAACTGGAATTGGTGCTGTGGTTCAGGTGGTAGAGCACTAGCCTTAAAGTGAAGAGCTGAGGGACAGAGCCCAGGTCTAGAGTTCAAGTCCCACAACTACACAAAAAAAGTACGTTACAGTTTTTAAAATTTTTTTGATGATGTTACAAATACAGCTCCTTCACATTCTTTTCTTCAATTAAGCTTTAAACAACCAGAGATCAGCGTAAGCACAGAAAGGGCAACACTGATGGTACAAGCACCCAAGGCCACCTCGACACGCCAACTTACCAGAAGGGATAAACGATGAAGCGGCTGATGAAAAATACAATAGAGAAGATGAAAAAGAGGCCGTTACAGGTTTTCTTCCATCCAGCATATGAAAACATCTTTGCGGACTTAAAAAAAAACAAAGACAGAAACTAAATTCACATAAGGTGCTAGCAATATGCATTTTACAAACTGAGCAATGAAACGATGTGATGTCCAGGATTTGCTTTAGAACAACCTGGGAGAGGAGGGGGGGAAAGGATGGGTTGAATAAGATCGGCCACCATGACGTGTTTGTGCTAGACTAAGCGCTTTATCTTGCCTTGTGCTTGACATTTCCCATAAGGCCCCTGGCTTTGTCCTCCTTGGCATGCATTTCACTCAAGGCACTTATTTAACATCGCCATCGAATCGGGGGTAGAGATGCCCTGAAGGCAGCCCTGTGGTGTTAGTGGAGCGTGGCTGGCCAGAGAATGCTGCCATCAGTGTGGCTGCTTTAAAGCAGATGAGGGAAGATGTGGGAGATGGGTGTTGGGTCCTGTCCCAGTGGAAATAAAGCTTTAAGCACATAGTTGGTTCCTACTCACTTTATGCTCATAGAGGATAGCCCACACTATCTGTGGGGAAAAGAAGAGTTCAAGAGAGGGTATGGGTGTGGGCGTGCTGAGGCAGACATCATTGCACGGTCCACAGGGGGACATTTCTTGTGTGAGTCTGGGGGTGAGGGATGGGTAGGGAAGTGGCTGGGGTACAGACTGTCCCTTTAGGGGGTAGGTTGAGACTCAGCAGTTTCAGTTATGATTATCACTTGGATCCCCAGATCTTTCTAGAAGCAGAAAAAGAATATATGTGCCCTCTGGCAAGGGTTCATTCTTCAATTTCCATGCTTACCCAGGGGCAAGGCTGTGACCATCCTGCGGGGCTGGAAGGGGCCAATGAAGCCAAACCCCTAGGAGATGAGAGATGGGAGCTGGGAGCTAGTGAATGTCAGAGAGAGCAGAGGCCAGGCCAGAGATGTGCTCATCTAAGAATGGAATCTAATTCCACGCATGAAAGGAAAATATAACACCCACTAGACTTCGTAAAGAGGAAATAGTAGCTGTCAGGGTGCATCCAAGTGTTAGGTCCTGGGTCCAAACTTCAGCATGGGAAGATTAAGAGAGGGCTGGTAAGATGCATCAAGAAGGCAGAAGGTCTGGGGTGATGAAGAATTTTAAAGGCCGAGGATATTTTTCCCAGCAGAGGAATGTACCACCAACTGTCTTCAGGAACTAAAAATGAATGGGCTTTATCTCAAGGAAGGCTTCCAGGGTGCTGGAATGGTGCTGTTTGTGTTCATTTAGAATTTGACTGAGAGAGCAAACACTTAACTATTCAAGAAGACAGTGGACCAGCATCCTTGGGAGACTATCAACCATCAGCCCCTAAATGTCCTCTCTCCCACCCACTGTGGTGTGAAAGCCCAGGCCTTGTGCGCTGAGACTCAAGTTAGGTCATGACTTGTGACCCGAGAATGATTCATGATCATTAACAACATGAACTCTTCTCATTTCCCCAGGAAGAAACCTCCAAATTTCACATTTCATTTTTCCTCAAATAAGAAATGAGCTGAATTTCACAATATACCGTATGGGGTAAGTATGACTTCTCATGTTACAGCTGGGGAGTGAAAACAAAACAATAAGTGATTTGCCCAGATCTCTCGGGGAGTTAAGTCAATGACAGGGGGGAGGAGGTGGGCGGGGCGAGCCAGGCGTCTGTTCCCTTGTTTGAATGTCTAACTCTCCCTTAGTAACACAATGGAAGTGTTTTCACATTGGACACACATCAAAGGCAATCTAACAAGAGCATTTAAAAGCAACAGACTAATATAACATTCCTAAGTCATTATAAGCAATTATAACAAAGATGGCTGTGCTCAGAAATGCACACGTGGCAAAGCTGGCCCAGTTACCCTACTTCCCAGCCATTTGCTGCACTGATGGCACATAGACCCACCTTGACCTTTACAGGAGGATATACGTATCTAATGAAGATACAGATGAAGGGAGATGACAGTCTACACACAGGGATTTTTTTTTTGCCAGTCCTGGGGCTTGAACTCAGGGCCTGGGCACTGTCCCTGACTGAGCTTCTTTTGCTCAAGGCTAGCACTCTACCACTTGAGCCACAGCACCAATTTTGACTTTTTCTGTTTATGTGAAACTGAGGAATTGAACCCAAGGCTTCGTGCATGCTAGGCAAAACACTTTACCTCTAAGCCACATTTCCAGCTCAACACAGGGAATATTTTATCAGTGACCAGTTGCTTTGAAATGGTTTCAAGTAATTTCGATTACTTCTTGAATATGAATGGGTCAATTATGGTCCAGCCCATGGGTTAAAGCTGGCTGACCTTACAAATTATTATATTGACCTTACAAAATATTATAATATTTCATATTAAGGCATATAAAAAACAAAAACAAAGGAAATATGTGACAGGAATCACAAGCAGCCCACAAAACTGCATTTACTATCTGGCCTTTCACCAAAAAGTGTGTTGAAGCTCGATCTAGGAGAATGAAATTCTATTAAATTTAATTTCTTCCATATCAACCTATATTCAGTTAGAATCCAAACCCTCCAAGGAGGTATCCCAAATGTGAACTGGGTTAGCGTCATTTCCCCAGGTTCATTAAAATGTGTATATTGAAATGAACACTGTGTGGTTCTGGGAAATGTTCTAATGATGGTATGAGACCTGGCAAGGAGAAGACACTCACCCCCAGCCTCAGCGCCAACAGAAACCCAGGCATGAGCAGGGCAGGCAGGCCACAGATGGCCTTGAGATGGCCTTGACCTTCTTCTTTTGTGTGGTGTGGAATTAGTAATTCTCTGCTTCAGAAAACATCCTAAGCCCCGTTTCTCCGTTAGAAAGTAAGTGTTGTTTAAAACATGTCAGCAGGCACTTTTTGAAGCAAGGCTAGGACCAGAGGATGCCAGAGGCAGGGAGCATGAACGTGCGTTGGGGAGCCTGGCATTGACTGCCTTAAACAAATAGATGGTGATGTCCAACTTTTGGACAAGACTGCCACAAATGCAAGTCTTTCTTGTAAGAGATTCAAGCTAATTTCCTCTTCAAATACCTCATCTCACCTCCTGAGCTAGCATCAGTACAGACCTACCTCCCACAAGCACCACGGAGGAGAGGAGGGAAAAATGAAAAGCAACAGCTTTCATTTCTTTCATCTGGCAATTCCAGAGTCGTTCTTGGACTTCAGGTGTTTCCAGGTAGAGGGCCCTGCTAACCCACGGACAGATCGTTCTTTCTTCAAGCACTTACAGGAAACCAGGATGTGGTGCTATTGTTTTTGTACATGGTAAGTACATACCTCCAGCCAAATATCAGCCACGTCGTGCACAACCATCACCAGAGTCCCACCACGAATATAATTAGCACACCACGAAAAGCCCATCAAACAAAGAGCGGCCAGGTGGTGGATGACATTGGCCAGAAAATCCTACACACAAGAAAAAAATGGAAGACGTGAAGCAACTGCAGGTTTTTCCCAGAGACTGGAAAAGATAATAGTAATCATTCTTATTCCAACAACTTACATCTGTATATTTTGTGTGTGGGGGCTTGAACTGGGGCTTGAACTCAGGACCTTGTGCTTTTGCTTGGCTTTTTCACTTAAAGCTGGTGCTCTACCTCTGGAGCCACAGGTCTGCTTCCAGCTTTGTGCTAGTTAACTGGAGATAAGAGTCTCTTGGATTTATCTGCCTGGGATGGTTTTGAACCATGATCCTCCGATCTTAGCTTCCTGAGTATCTAGGATTACGGGGGCCCAGATGTATGTTTGAAATTTATAAAACACCTTCATTTTAATTCTTAAACACAACTCTGAAAGGGAGCTAGCACAAGTGTCCTCATTGATGAAATCACTTAACTTTGAAATAGCACTGAAGAGTTAACATCAAGTCCGATGTCTCTTGTTCTTTCTGCTGTTACCACATTGGATATGTGTGTGCATACACACATAGACACAAATGCACACGTGCACAAGCACATCTTTGTATATACCTATTGTAATATCTATTGTTTATTCTTTGCTTAATCTAAGAAGGAAAAAATGTCTGAGTGTGGCGGCCTGTAATTCCAGCTATGCTGAAAGTGGAGACTAGAAGACTCAGAATTAAGGCCAGTCCAGCAAAAGAGTTAGTGAGAGCCTATCTCTATAATAAACCTAGATGTGGTAGTTCACCAATTAATCCTAGATCCATGAGAAGTATCCATGAGAGGATCATGGTCCCAGGCCCACCGAGGGGAAAACTTGGCTGAAGCCAAAAGGACTAGCAACGTGGCTCAAGTGGCAGGACACCTGCCTAGCAAGTGCAAGTCTCTGAGTTCAAACCCCAATATTGCTAATAAAAAAGGAAAAAGTGGCAGTTTTATTAACTACAAAATTATTAAGGAAAGTTATTACATATGAAATAAGTAAAACTGAGAACAGAACTACTCTGTCAGAAAACCAAGGCTAAAGAAACCTATAGTCATCTACAAAATAAAAAAGATATGCAAATAGGCATTTAGTCCATAAAAAGATATGAGTCATCGGGAAAATGCAAACCAGACTTCAGTGAGATAGATGACGCCTTACACTCACCAGGACAGCTGCAGGGATAGTGATAAGCAGTAATAAGTGCTCGTAGGCACTCCCAGTCCCCCTCTCTTATCAGCCCTCTCCCCATCTGTGGTCCACTTCCTCTCCCCAAATAGTTCTCCTCCCACATTCAAGTCTGGATTAAGACTCCTAAAGCTCTTTGAAGGTATCCAATTGGCTACAGTGCACCCCCTAGTGAAGCATACTGCTCATTCAACTTAAACATAGTTTATCAAGCCAACTTCATTTTCCCTAGCATTAACTTAAATTTACTTTGCCTGAAAATGTTGCTCCACACCAGCCTTGTCCATAAGGTTTAGCACTGGACATACAGGCCTGAAGTATCTATTATCTGGCTCCCTTGCTAGTGTGTCTGAGAAAGTCTTGCAACTGCATTTAACATCTAACATTATTCTTGTACAAGTAAAGAGGTTAGCCCCGTTTCTAAAATGTGTTATGTAACTGCAGAGGAAGTCAGAAGGCCCCTGACTCAGTTTACCTAAAAATAAAGCAAATCTTCCAATACTTGCAGCAAGATTTTCTAACAAGGTAAATTAAGAAAAAAAATTAAGTCTTTAAGAGGGACAGGGAGAAAAGATGGGAATGAGATTGATTGGAATATGTTGAAATTATATGTGGAAATATAACAATGAAAGCATCTCCCATAATTAGTGCAAGCTAACATACCTACCTAAATAAACAAAAGTATAAATCTATAAAATAATAAAACACAGGAAGTGGTGCTGTAGCTAAAGTGGTAGAGTGCTAGCCTTGAGCTGAAGAGCTGAGGGACAGCGCCCAGGCCCAGAGTTCAAGCCCCATGACCAACCAAAAAAAAAAAAAGTAAAACACAAAGTCTTTGAAAACATCAAAAAGAATCTCATAAAGTGGTTTGTCATCAACTAAAAGATATGACTGCAGAATAAAAACTACTATCACTTTTCTTCTATGAATTTAAGGACATGAAACTCCTAGGTTGAAAAATTTGACAACAGAAAAGAGATGACTTTTCTTATTGAAAATAAGTAAAGCTTCAATGTTTCTATCATGTTTCCTTACCAATATGTACTAAGGCACTGAAGCATAGCCTAGTTTCCAATACTATATGTAGTATTAAAAGCAAAATAATCAATAAACTGTTACTAAATATAACACAAATATTAGAATTTGGGGCAAAGGGATGAATAGTTTTTGAAAAAAACTTCTACTAGAGGTTTTGTAATTAGACACTTACCTTCCTCTTGACGTCAGAGCCAACACTAAACAACAGGGACCAATAGAAACTCATTTCTAACATGTAGTACCAGTACTGAGATGGCAGCAAGGACTGAGGAAAAAAAACAGTTCATTTCTGTGACTATCACCCTACAAACCACTCATTTTAATGCAGCAAAACCTAAATACATTACACAAAAGTCTATGAAATACTCAAAGTTTAACTTTCCAAAATAAATTACAGGTAATATTTCAAGGTATTTTATTTCTAAAAGAAGAGACCAGTATTCTAAAATCAAGTTCAATGTTTTATTTATAAAGTGAGTAAAATCGCTACAGGTATAATTTTCTTTCTTTAGCTTAATGGAAATTAAGCTAGATGTACAATTGTTTAAGGACTCTAAAGATATCTTCTGAAAAAAGGAATTAAATTTCTACTACTAGGCTTTTCCTTAACCCTTGTATAGTAGGAAAGTGCTTATTTTAGATAGGCTGAGCCATCATCATTTTTGGTGTGACAGACTGCTACCTTAATTCCCGCTGGACTAGCTACCTCTTTATCCCCGTGCATTATATGGTCTGATCTTGGAGATACAAGCTTATGTAATGCAAGAAGAGACTCCATAAACACCATCCAAGAAGCCTGAGCTATCCCACTAGACAAACCACAATAAGGTAGACCAAGACACCAACGGTTAAAAGAATAAAAGCCAGCACCCAACTGACTAATGAACTCAGTTGATCTACTTAATTGAGCATAGATCCAATTGACACCCCAAATAAGTGGGTACTGTTACAAGGAATGAAGTTTGGGGATGATGTGTTATGCATCAACAGATGCCTGCTACACCTGAGTAATGTGGAGGATGAAGATGGCAAGACTGGACTAGGTCTAGGAAATGCCTGGGTTCTTTCAGGTCTAACTTTCATACCTTGCAGTCTAAGTAGACACAGAGATTAATCAGGACTCTGGGCTGGGAAGCAAAATGGTTTTCAGGTAAAAAAAAAAAGGAATCATAGCAAACAATGTACTTCTTATTTAAAACCACTGAAGAAAAAGACTTCAGGATACAGGTAATTAGGAAATACACCTGCCATCACAAAAATCTAAATCAGCTCTTATTGAATCAGCTTAATCACAGATGGAAAGTGACCAGTCCTTGCTCTGAATCTGTAACAGAACTAAAAACGTGTCTCCTCAGAGGGAAGATAGAGCCATCTGACCATTTATATTTTCCCTATACAATGTTAGTCATTCAGTCAAAATCTATAATGCAGAAAGTAATAAGAACAAGAAAGGAAACAAGATATTAGATTTATCAGGCTTGGATTTGAAAATAACTTTAAAAATAGATGAAAAGTTAACACATTTCTTTAGAAAACTGGAATCCATGAAAATTTAGGAACTAGAAATAGAATAACTGAAATTAATAATCAAAAAGGTGTGTCTGACACCAGGTTAGATACTATTAGACAAAGCACCATTGAATGGGAGTGAGTTAAAGTAGAAAATCTCCCCCCCCCCACTGCTAAGTACCTGAGCTCTTGCCCTGTTTGTAAGCTAACAGGTTGTGTGCCAGTTTTATGGATGCCAGCCGAAGATAGGAGAATCCTGGGGCAGAGAAACAGGAGACCGGCAGGAGCCAGAGTGTCAGCATATAAGCTACTTCTATCTTCAGTTCCAACTGGGCTAAACAAAAATAATCAGGTGACAGCTGCACAGGCGAGGGTTGTGATGCATGAGAGAAAACTTGAACTACCGATCCTCAATCTTTTATAATGGGCAGTAATAATGTCTACCCTTTTCTCTAATGCGGTAGGCATCAGCTCTGGCTTCTGAGGCTACCTGCTATACAAACATCCTTGAAAAGATCCAAGACAAAAGGCACCCACTACATGTGACACACAAAACTGCTCAGGAGATCTGCAAGGAACTGTCTCCCCCAAGAGTGTAATAGCACAGAGAGGTGAGAGGAGGAAGAAGATTTCTCCAAAACATAAGGAGTTATAAAACCTAGTATACAGAACTAGCATATCAGCACAATTGAAGAGAAAAGAACAAAAGCAACAGTAAAGAATTTTACAAATCTGATTAAAAGCTTCAAGATCCAGATAAACTAAGGAGAGTAAATTCCAAGAAAATTATGAGAGAGAGAGAGAAAATAATTCTTCTTTGAAAGACATGCTCAACGAAGCAAAAATAAAAATGATAGCTTGGCACCGGTGGTTCATACCTGTAATCCTAACTACTCAGGTGGCTGAGATTCAGAAAACTGTAGCTCAAAACTAGCTTGGACAGAAAAGTCTATGAGACTCCATTTCCAAAAACAACCAGCAAAAGACCAGGCATGGTTCAGATGGTAGCATGCCAGCAAAGCAAGCAAGTGAAGCAAGCACCAGTTGAATAAAGAAGAAACCACTGATGAGACTTTTCTACCACGGGGGTCCTGATCCTCCTTAGAGGCATAGGAATCTGGGAAGAGACGAACAGCTGGGAAGGTAACTTGACTAACTTGCAAAATAATTGTAGTATGACATCAAGACCTTAAATATCTGAAAGAGGAGGACATATAGCATATAGTATAATGACAAGCACTCATTTGTATTAGAGTCCAGTTAGTGCAGGATTTCTATGGTAATCTCTAGGATAATTAGTGAAAGGCAAAAATCACATAGGGCCAAAAGTCACAATAAGGGCAATGAAATAATAGTAATTTTAAAAAACTTACCTGTCTCATAAGAAAGCAAGAGGAAATGTGTTAGTGCCAATAAAAAAAAATGTATGGTAAGATGACAGATTTAAACCCAAATACTTATCCACCTTACCTGTAAACCAGCTACAGGAGTGAGATGGTGGTGAGATAGAGAGGAAGAAGAAATCCAGGCAGAGAAAGAGCCAGAAGACAGAAGGCAGTGAGCAAGGGGCAGGGGGCGGGGAGGGATTAAGACCTAGAAGACAACCCCAGGAGTCTAGATGAAGTAAGGGAAGGTATTATCAGAAGGACTTACCTGTCTGGGATAGTCAACCCAAACCTGCCAGAGATCATATGCCCAGGGTTTCTAGGGGGTAAAAATAAATAAATAAAAAGATCTCAGAGAACAGAACAGAATCAAAGGCTGATAGAGAGCCTGATATTGTTTACTGATGGACAATGATACAGAGGAAGACTAATTTCTGTGGGTTCCTCTTGCTTTTGTTGTAATTATTTCTCCGACTGGAGATATCTACTCATATCCTATTATGACCCGACATATTCAATATGTCTGTTGCATTGAGGAGGGGGCAGCAGATAGTGCTATCTCATTTAGAGAACTGTTTCCAACAACTGAGTCCATTAACATAATGATTACTGAACCAACATGATTATTGTATCTGTATCAATAAAACTATGTAGAGGCAACTGTAGCAACAAAATACTTAGGAAAAATCTTTGTTGATCTTTTTATGGTGTGATAAAACCTCCCAAGGGCCAGCCTCGCGTATGCCAGGCAAGCAGCAACCCCAGACAGAGATTCTGACTCCGGAGAGAAAGTTCTAAAAACTAGGTAACTTACTGAAAGTGTTATATCCTAAAGGATTTCTCAGGCAAGGATTTTAAAAATTAAAGACGAATTTCAAAGATATAGAAAACACAACTTACATCATAAAGAAATACAATTCCAGCAACTGTAAGCAGTAAGTAAAATGTAAATCGCCAGCTGCCAAAAGAAAGAAAAGTCTTTAGTCCACTGTTGAAATGGCTGACAGCTGAGAACGAGAGGATTCAGCATGACAGGGTCTGGAAGGGCACACTCTGGAGTCATGTACATCTAACGAATCCTGGCTCTGACATTTATTTCATGGCTGCAAAGTCATTTAACCTAAGGGTTCATTTTCTCATCTGTCAGTGAGAGAAACAAAATGTAAAAGAGAATCGAAGCTGATTTGCAAAAGTAATGATCATAGTTCTAGTTTGAGAAAAGGAAGGACAAATGGTAGCTGCTATTATTATTATTATTATTATTATTATTATTATTATTTTGACTAGACCAGTTCCAGGCCCATAATAAATGATGACCTTGTATTAGGATAGTGATCCATAATAATGAGGATTCTAATTAGTCCAAAAACTTACTTTGTTCCAGTTACCCCCTACTTGCAAGATTCCTACCTGGCCAGATTTCACACTTCTCTTCAAAACAGAGTTTTAAACAAAGAAGTTTTCTTATGTACAGGGGGCTTTTAGAGATGGAGAAGACAGAGATAGACATGGAGGCACACATCTGTAATCCTGGCTTTCAGAAGACTGAGGCAGATGGATCTCAAGTTCAAAGTCAGCCCAGACTATATAGGAAGACTCTTATCATGAAAAACAAACCAAAAACCAAGACACACACACACACTCACACACACACACACACACGAAGTCAATCACAACATAGGGGTCTTATTTAGATTTGGATTCAAGCAAATGAACGATAAAGAAAATTCATCTGTCCTCAGGAAGGAATAGGGGCATGAAAGGAGGACATCAAGTTTCACTGTAGGCTCTGGCTGCTTCTCTAGCCTTATGTGGCCAGTCACTCATTGTACCAGCCAAGAAGAAAGAGCTGGTAGAAGTCGCTGGGCTATAGGAGGGACATAAGAAAGGGGCAGAGAGAGGGAATCCACGGATGTGTAAATGCGGCATTCAGCACAACCTAACTAATGCACACCCATCTGGATGAAAAGAAGGGAGAAAGGGAGAGTGAAGGTCTGGCCCCACCTTGTTTTGCACAGGTGGCAGTTTCTGCCACCCAGGGGATGACCCATAGCATAATATTCTACAGGAGAAAACACGATTCAAATGAAACCAGAACCAACTCCAGTATGGCCTGACTGCCTGCACACTGTATTCGATATATCCAGCCCTGGCATACATGTCCTTTATGCACCAGTCTTTCCAGCCCTCCTGCTAAGCCACTGGTAGCCATGAGGAGCAGACAGCACAACCCCCAGGCAGGGCCCAGGCTCATGAGTCAACTCAGACACAGAGATGTGCTCCTGTCCCATTCTGCACAGAGCAGACAAGTGAAGAAGCCTTGAACCCTGGGCCCTACCTCAACCCTAGAAGACAGAGATGCCAGGGCAGACACATTTGTGATTTATCCAGACTTCAGGATGAGCAGAGAGTCTCTCCTTAGGCCTCAGAGCCTGGATCAGACCCATTTCCTGGAGGAGGGAATGGAAGCACAGAGAGGAGGGTGGTGGGCTTGGAAGGAGCTGTGGAAGGACAGCTTCCTGGGTATGTCCGCTTGCTCTCAGGAAGGCCACGTTGCTGCAGCGAAGCGGCAGCCCTGCAGCGCTTTGATGCTCTTCTTACCATGCTTCCTGGAACTTCTTCAGCTGGCAAGGCCTCTCTTGACTCCGCCGGCTCCTGAACCACCTCTCCACCTGCCGCTCTGTCAAGTTACTCTTCTTTGCCAGTCCATAAATGTCATCCTGGAACAGGATGAGAAAGTGAATGAGAGAGGGGTTGTGAGCGACATCACAGGGGCTGGCAGGTATGACCCCGGCTGTGTCATCAGGAGGATCCGTGGGATCTTGATCCAGGAAATGTATTACTCTCTCTCGGTTTAATTATTTTAAATAATTGTTTTATTTTTATTGCCATGACTGCTATTCTGTGCACTTAGTTAAATTGACTATGATGACTTTTCATTTGTGTACATACATTACTTCAGTCTTCTCAGATTGAAGTAATGAGTTAACTGAACCAGGGAAAAAGCCATTTGTCTAGTTCAGTACAAGAATTAGTGGCAGTCCAAAAAAACAATTTACCCCATGTCTCCATCCACTCCAACCCAAAGTGGATAGCCAGCTCGTCTCACTTCAACAGGCTTTCAAGTGAAACATGCCACAAATAGACCTATACACCTATGAGCCACATCTTACCCCGAAGTAAAACAACAGAATACATGCCATTTCTTTTTTGTCTTCTTCAGACTTAAACTAACGCTGAAAGGAAGCTTACTGGGACAAGCTTTAGCTTGGGACGCATCAACTATCTGAACACACAGACTTGATCTACTTTCAGAGGACCATTTATGGAAGGAAGGGGAGATTAATACCTAATTTCAGGTTTTTACTACTTTTAACTCAATGCAGAGTCTAATTATAGGCTCATGGATTTCATCCAATATAAAATAAATTACAGTGATTTGTTTTTAAGGAAGAGGTAAACATGACGGTTTACCAAAAGCAAATACCCTTATAAAACCACTTAGGGTGGTCAGCTGTAGTAAACCTTTTATTTCTTCAAAATGCTGCCTCTGCCAACAGGATTGCAGGTTTTCTTCCTTACAGAAAGGAACTCCTTTACAGTCCAATTGCAATTATGTCCACCCAAGAGTAAGCACAAAACTCAGTGCAACTGTTGCCTAGTGTTCTTCTGGCCAGTTCCCACATCTCCATTTGATGATGATCATTCTATTTAACAATTCTATGTATTCACCAGTGATGTTCCCATTAAACATTTGGAATCTCCCTTTGTTTAATTTTTATATTGTTAATGGGATTTGAATTTAGGGGCCCATAATTGCCAATATTTTTAATACTTTTTAAAATACTTTTCTTTTCAGGTAGAGTATCATATTCTTTGCCTGGAGCTGGTCTCTTTTGCCTACATAGCTGGAATTACTGATATAAACCATGAAGCTCAGCCTATTTGTTGAGATGAGGTCTAGCTAACTTTTTGCCCATACCTCCTGATCACCATCTCCTGAGCTGCTGGGGTTATAGGTATAAATCACCATGTCTGGTAATTTATCTCTTTTACTTATGTAATTACGTGCACATACACATATATAAGTACTAAAAAATATTAGTATCCTTACCTAAATGAGTTTCTGAGAAACCCCTCAAACTGGTAGCAAAACAAATGTTCAAGCTGCATAACTGAGCCCACTTGTTCTACCAACAGATACTTAGGGCCTGCTAGGCACCTAAAATGTCTGAATGTCCATCAATCCAATCTCTTAATTTTCTCCATAGGAAAACAAAACTGGAAAAGAGTATCTGTGGCTTGTCTAAGAACTGAAATGAGTGCTCACTTCAGCAGCACATATACTAAAATTGGAACGATACAGAGAACTGAAATGACACACACTTGTTTTAGGAAGGCAGTCATGGGGCACGTTAAGGGCATAGAGTTAGAGATGCTTTCTGGGCTATGAGCATTCTCTGTCCTATAGCTGTGTGGTCAAACCACAACATACCTTCAGGACCTACAGCTGACAGAGCAATGGGAAGTCATGGATGATGGAACCAAATACAGCTAGTAGCACTGGGGACCCTCAACAATCTATCCCAAGATCATGTTAGCACTATTGGTCTAAAACCAGCATTGTCTCTCCCGGAAGACATTCCTCTCAGGCTTTTACCTGAAATAAAAGTCTGTTTGTCTGTTGAGTTCTCTTTCTGCCCTTTCTTTATTCTGATACCCTCAATACTCGATATCGTTAGACCAGCACTAGCACCTTTAACAAAGGAGATCTTAAGTCCAGAATCAAGATCTTGTACTTACATGCGATGGTCGTTTTGTAGAAGTCTTGAAAAAATTCTCTAAGATGGAGTTTGGTATAATTTTTCGAGTTGCTTTTTTTATGCCAAATGTTTTTGCTATAGGTGTGGCAACAAATCTACAAAAATATAAAAAGAAAGTAAGTTCAAAGTCTAAGAATGAAGCTAGCCAGGTGCCAGTGGCTCACACCTGTAATCCTAGCTCAGGAGGCTGGGATCTGAGGATCATGGTTCAAAGCCAATCTGGGAAGAAAAGTCCCATGAAACTCTTATCTCTAATTGACTACTCAAAGACCAGAAGTGGAGCTGTGCCTTGAAGTGGTAGAGCATTAGCCTTGAGCAAAAGAACTCAGAGACAGTGCCCACACCCTGAGTTCAAGTCCCATAACCAACTCTCCCCCCGGCTCAAAAAAAAGAATGAATCTATAATGACACCCAAAAACTCAGGCTGACACCCTGGGTCGCATAGTGGAAGGTAAATCATTTGTGTGTTCTGTGTTACTTTGGATGATGAATGTCCCTGGCCAGCAGGATGATGCTATTAGAAGGGGTGGGTGGGGCCTAATGTGAGGTGGTTAGGTCATTGGAAGCATGTCTTTCAGGGAGATTGTGGGTTTCGGTCCCTCCCCTTTCCTGTCCCAAGAGGTGAGTGGTCTGTTCCTACCATGATCTGCTAACCTCTCCAGAGACCCAAAGCACTGGGCCATTCAGTCTGAGCCAGGAACCTCCAGAATCATGAGTCAAACTGAGCCTTTTTTCTTTAAAAATTGATTACCTCAGGTATTTTGCTGACTAATATACATTATATATACAATGTATGTTATGTATATATGTATATACATTTACTAATATACATTGCCACTTGCTTACAGATAACATTCACCTAAAAGTGAACAAATTCACCTAAAGGTGAACAAATTTTCAGATAGTATTTATAGCAATAATTTTAAGATATAAAATGAAACCCACAAGTCTAACATTTATTGTATTAATTCAAGTATGTGAGATTTATGCATTAGAATAAGCCATCCTCTTTACAATTTCATTTTCAAGATTCCCAGTGGTGTTAGAAAAGAGGTCTAGGGGTGTGGCTCACCTCCACAGTCCCCAACACCAGAAAATGAATTGATTTGGTGAGATTATCTTAAATGACTACTGCTTCTATTTCAAGTCTTAAAATATTTTAAAAAACTGTCATAACAAAATAAATACCTATGAACGTGATTAATGGGCAGCACGGAGAGTGTACCATTAACTTTATGAGAAACTGTAAATTGTTTGCTGACAATTAGAAGGGCCTTATAGCTTGTTCAGCATTTATCAGAGCTCCTCACAGCATTCTCCTCACAGCCTCAGCTTTTCAGTGCAAGTTTCTTGCTTAGCCTATTATTTGCTCTAGTTGTTATCTATTGCCTTAGACTTTTGTGAGTTAATCAATTATCTCTAATTATTTTAGATTAGATTCTTTACTGGGTAAACTCTGAGTCCAGTCTCAGAAAGACAGCCTTGTTAGTACAGTCTTGCAGACAGGTCAGATAATGGAAGTTCTCCAGTGAGAATCCTGTTCTGTTGCCCTCCACAGCTGCCAGGCTTCGAGTTCCCGCTGCACTTGTGGTCTTTCAGGCTACCACATGGGTGGAGCTGTAGAGGGAAAGTAATACCAGAAGACTGTTGTGATCTCCCGGATTCAGCTGCTTTTCTTAAATAATACTCCCCAGATTGCTGCAGACTCTGGGCTAGTTAGGGATAATGAACAAGCTGAGTCTGACAACTTTTGCTACTCTTCAGGATTGCCTTTATGGGGGAGAGAATTTCCAGCGATCTTAACTCCTGATATGTTTGCTAATCTCTGGTGCACTGTGGTTTTATTTCCCTTTTTCTAATGATCAGTAATGTTGATTGGCCTTTTATGTTCTTACTTCCCATTTGTATGTTTTTGTTGATAAAGTATTTGCTCCAATCTCTTGCCCATGTTTGTTTACTTTTTTCTTTTGCTCATTTTTGAAACCATCTATTTCTTTAATTGAGTTGTTAGATATCTTCTTACATTCTACAGTTAAGTAGAATATACTTTTTATCCTAGCCCGTGACTTGCTTTCTCACTTTATTTACAATGTCCTTAAAAAATAATTGAGGCATCCTTTACAGATCAGCTAATTCAATCTTTTCAAGTATCTAATTCAATATAATGTAATTGAACATATTAAATTATATCATTTATATTTTAATATTCCTATGATATAATGTTTCATTTAATTAACATAATACAATTCAGTATCAATTTAGTACATTTACTGACTTACATGAGCATTACCATGAAACAACTTTAGGCTATTTCCATCACCACATTATGATACCTCTTGCATATTTACTGCTAATCCTTGTTCCTTTTCAACCTTACCCCAGGCAACTTTCTTTCTGTCCTGATAATTTTGCCTTTTCTGGACATTTAATAGAAGCAGACTACAATATGCAATCTCTTTCCTTAGGCTTCTTTCACTGAGCAGGGTATTTTGAGATTTATCCATGTCATACTATGAGAAAAAGTATTCTTTTCTGTGAAACTAAAGTGAATTTGGTATTGTGTATTGATATCTCCTGGCATTATGTGTAACTATTATCTGTACTGCTTCTTACCAGCTAGCCATGTTAGGGAGATAAATCTCATGTTGAAGAAGTTAAAATAATGAACTGTAATTGCTAAGTGGAGAAAAAAGTAAGCCTTTGACAGGAAGGAAAGAATGGCCCCTTTCTAACCCTGGTAATCAACTATACTTAGACCAGGAGCCTGACTCCCTGACAAGGAGGGGGAACAGTTTGCATTGAGATGAAAGCCTAGCAAGCTGCCCTGCACGAGGTGCCTGCCGAGCTGTGGTAGGGTAATGGCATTGCACCCCTTTGCACAAAAGTAAACTGCCTTGACCAAATCTCTCATGGGTCCACTCATTTCTGATAATGAAGAGTTGTGCATTTCTAACAATACTTTCGCTCTTTTCCCATTCATTGCTGAGCAAGATCCCATGGAATAGATACACATTCAGAGTGTCTTTCAAAGAGCAAACATTTTAGCTCTTTCCCAAAAGAACCAATAGTGTATGTTCAAACATATTCTTGTATCAGATGCTCACAGCAGTTTCCTTTATAATAGCTCAACAGTGTAAGTGACACAAATTGCCATCAACTAGTTAAAATATAAATTAATTATGGTATGGTATATCTGTATGTTGAAAGACTACTTAATAATAACAAGGAACTATGGATACACACAACATGAAAAAGATTCTCAATGCCGTTATGGAAAATGAAATAAATCAAGCACAATTTAATAAAATCTATCATTTCCTTTACAGAAAATCTTGGAAAATAGATACTAGTGAATTAAAGATCAGTGTTTCCAGGAAGCTGGTAGATAGGAAAATGCAAAAGGAAATTTCAGGTTAGTGATGATAGTTACATAACTGCATACATTTGTCCAAGCCAAAAATTTTGGATGAACTTTATGATATGTAAACCTCACTGAAAATTTTTTAAAATAATAATGTGTAAAGCCAGGTGTGATGGCACAGGCTGTAAGTCCAGCTATTTGGAAGGCTGAGGTTGAACTAGGAAGATTATGTGAGTTTATTAGTTTGAGTCCAGCCTGGGCAACAGACAGACAGACTCTACTTTAAAAAATGAATACCTGTGTAACTATAACCCCTCTGTGCATCATCTTTATAATAATGATTTTTAATGAATAAGCAAATAAAATTATTGGCATGACTTTATTTCTCTTTCAGTTCTGACAAAAGCTCTAACTTTTGCCAGATCTATAATTTTTCTAGAACTCACTTAGAAGAGATTCTGTGCTTAGTTAAATTCTAGAAACTTATGATTACTTAGCCCTTTAGTTCATTTTCATATCCATGGGAAGATACGGTGATAAAATGTAAAAACCAGCCCAACTTCCAGATGAACTAAGTTCCTTTGGAAAGAGCACATGAATTTCAGAGATGTAAAAACAAACTAATTATGCATCAAATGTACACAGAGCCATGTGGACAGGTCATAAAACACAACTGATTTTTTAATAGGATGAAGAAAATTAGGTCTTAGTACCATACATTTATGTTTACTAACAATACATATACAAACAACATGTTTTCCTGGATCACAAGAATAAAAGGCTATAATTCATATAATAAAAACATATTATAACAGCTGGGAGAGGAATGGGCTTAGGGAACAGGGGTTAAGGTAATTATGAAAATATAAGGAAAGAAAATGAGCTCTTATATAGACCAATGGCAGTGTGCTATGTCTTTGTCTATGATCTGAGGAACATGGTTCATTTATTCTCCTTTAGTATGAAGGTCCAATCTCCACTCTGCATACAAATGCAAGGATATCCTTAATATTAACTAAGTCTCAAAAATAAATTTGCAGAGTTTTGACACATAATAAAATTGGTTCATTTATCCAACCTACTAGCTGACAATTTTTATTTTTTAAAAAATGTCCATTAAAAAAATCGCAAAAGTGGACGGTTTTACATGGAGTGTTCTCAAACTCACTGAAAATAAGAGCAAAATTAAAATCAAAGCAGAATTGAACAGACTATTTATCCAATATGGAACAAATCCAATCTCAAAGCCACATGAAGTATAACTCCTTTCAATGAAATATAAACATGGGCAAGTGTATACACATAAGGATAAGCTCTTATGCTTTTTAAAAAATATTCATTAATATTAAAATCATTAATTTAAAAAGAAAAAGATAGCCTTCTTTTTTAACTTCAAGAATAAGGATCACATTTTTCAATGGAACAAAGCAAGTACATAAATACACTATATAATTTCCTTTTCACATAAAGCTAGGACATTCTTATCTAATATAAATGCTCATAAATATTAATAAGTTACTTAATTGAAAATCAGTTTGAAAAGGAGAAAGAGCCAGTCACAGAGGCTCACACTTTTAATCCTAGCTACTTGGGAGGTGGAGATCAGCTCAGGAGCATCTAATCTGACCAAGAGTTAGTGATCAGCCAAATGTACTGAGCCAGTCTAGGCTTATCCCTATAATCCTCACTGCTCACTAGGCTTACATCCAACAAGGGTCATAGTTCAGCTCCAGCAGACAAATCCTCAAGATTCTCATCTAGCATTAACCAGCAAAAAGCTGGAATGGTATCGTGGTTCAAACAGTAGAGCACTAGCCATGAGCAAAAACGCTGACTGAAAGTGTGAAGCCCTGACTTCAAGCCCTAATTACCCCTCAACACAACACAACACAAAACAAAAAGCTGAGCATAGTGGTTCTTGACTGTCTTCAGCTAGACAGGAAAGTGTAAATAGGAGGACTGTGGTCCACACTCACCAAGGCAACAAGTGATATCATCACAAATTACCAAAGCAAAAGCAGAGGTTGCTCTGCCGCCTCCATCCTTCAAGTGAAGGACACTGGGCCTTTCTTGACTTTATGGTACCGAGTGGGAACGGTGATTAATGTGTGATTAATGAAGAAGAAGGTGCACTTCTGGTTTTAGCACCTCCAGCTCTGCCTTGGACTTCTGAGGTTATAATTTATTCTAAGATCATTTATAATTTATTCTAAGACAAGGGTTGAACTTTGCGTACGTCCGCTGTCCGGTCGTGGGGCCTGAACTCTGGGCCTGGGCGCTGTCTCTCAGCTCTTCAGCTCAAGGCTAGTGCTCTACCACTTGAGCCACAGTGCCACTTCCAGCTTTTTTCTTTTTGCTTATGTGATGCTGAGGAATCGAACCCAGGGCCTCATGCATGCAAGGCAAGCACTCTGCCACTGAGCCACCTTCCCAGCCCCCTGAGCTATGTCTTCTTTCTTCCCCAAAACTTCATTTACTCTCTTCAACAATCAAGAGTGTTTCACTGTGAAATCACACTCAATTAATGGGAAAATAAAATGTTATAGCCAGAAACCCTGAACCTAGTATCATAGACTTTAGCCAGAGAGCTAACCTCTAGTTTTCTCACTTCAGACTGAGATAATACCAATTATGATTTTATATATTGCTTACACTATAAGTTCTTATCACTTTCAAGGTATAAGTAACAATTTATTTTTTATTATAAATAGTTAAATCTACAATAAATGATACAGGAGCCCTGGAAAAGTACAAACTTATACTTTGAAAATTATGATCTTGTCTCATGTTCAATGGTGTCTCCTGGTAATGCATTCATTAGAAGAGATATGAGAATTCAGGTGCTAGTGGCACATGCCTGTAATCCTGGCTAATCAGGAGGCTGACATCTGAGGATCATGGTTCAAAGCCAACCCCAAACAGAAAAGTCTACTATCTCCAGTTAAGCAGCAAAATACTGGGTTGGAGATGGGACTCAACTCAAGTGGTAGAGAACCAGCCATAGGCACTCATTTGGCCTGGACTTCAAACCCCAGTACTAGCAAGAAAAAGAGAGATGAAGAGAGCGGAAGGAAGAAATGAGCACTGGAGAGAGAGAGAAAAGAAGAGAGAAGAAAAATGGTGGTTTCTGTAGTGTCATAGAGTGGGAAAAGCTAAAGAGAATTATTGGTTGGGAGTTACAGTTGTAAGGAGATAGTGGATACTGCTTATACCTAATCCCTTGAGAAGAAGCAAGAATGGCTTTAGGAATTAAATAGGATTGGCTTTCTTCCTGATTGCTGTTGGAAAGACCAAGACTAAGACATAACAAGTTTGTCCTTGACAGCTGTGCTGCTTTGGCAACCAAAAAGTATATTTTGGCTTGCTGACCTGACCAAGCTGGAAAAGGGAGCTGCCCACCAAAAAAAGTAGGAAATCTGCAATGGGAATAAGTAATGAGCCTGGATGCCAAATGCAAAGATTACCAAATACAGTGCAAGAAAAGCAAGTATTTCTGAATTGTAAAGAGAAGTAATAAATTACTTATGAAGCACAGTGGAAAATTCTCCTTCATTTATGCATTCTTTCACAAATCCAAGTATGTGAATATAAAGAATTAACTGTTGAAAGGAAGGGCATTTACAAATGGGTTCAGCCACAGTTTAGTAGTATCTGGGGACTTTCTCTTCCTACCAATAGCAACAAAGTATTATTGGTCCAACTAAAGATTTTATTTGTTCAGAAACTCTTTTGGCAATTCCATGAAATATGGGTTGGTCAAACAGACTTTCAAGATAAGGACCTTGCAAATGGTTATAAACATATGATCTGTATTACAGTTAGTCTGAAACATGATCTTATCAGACTATGTCTTAAGTTTTTCCAGCTCTTAACACTCATGCATTCTTTTTTTCTTCAAATAAATTAATAAGCTAAGATCAGTTTTTTTGAGACAGAGACAACACTAGAGTTTATAGGAAATTTATCTCTTGTTATCAGAACACAAGTACAATTTTAATCAAAAGTTGGAAGAAACATCAATTTAAATTGAATCAAGAAAAAGAAGTTTATGATTTTCTGAGAAAGCAAATTGACTTTTTTGTTTGGTTTCTTTATAGTTTGGGATAAAGGATAACTATAAAAGTTTTAAATAAACCTTTAAAATAAGTTATGCTGGGCAGCAATATTTGGTTTTGTCTTTAATGAGCCATTTATGCTATTTTGCAGGCACTCTAGAATAATAGTGTATCTCTGAGTCACAGCTTCTCCACTGTCCTCTGGGGATGAATATCTAAATCTATACATACATAACACAGTATAGTAGAAGACAAAACTGGGTTTCCATCATGTTAATGACACTAATTTATATATTAATTGTACAAATTAGTGTATAAATACACTGTGCACCATTCATAGCCATCCACTTTAACCTGTCTTGATCTCCATTTCTCACTGTAAAAGTAAAGCATTCCATGGTATTCACATTCCTATTATTTTTCCTGTTTGGTTTCTTTTATTGTGTGCTGGTTCTGGGACTTGAATTCAGGGCTTGGGCACTATCCCTGGGCTCTTATTCTCAAGCCTAGCTCTACCACTTGCGCTACATGTCCCCTTCTGACCTTCTGGGTAGTTAATTGGTGATCAGAGTCTCATGGGCTTTCCTGCTTAATCTGTCTTCAAACCATGATCCTCAGATCTGTTTCCTGAGTAGCTAGGATTATACATGTAAGCCTCCAGCAAGTGGCTTCCTATCCAGTTTCTAAATAATGTTTAGTGTATACTTGAATGGAAGAAATCTGCCTAAGAATCTTCAGTCCCTATGTGGCAAACTGTGACCTAGAGACTCATGAGGAATATCATCAAATCTGTGCAAGTCTAGACTGGAGACACACAACAGTACTTACTTTTCAAAGAAATGTCTGATGATCAGCAAGAGAAGAGCAAATGGAATTGTCAAATACAGATGGGAAGGCTTGCTAAAGGTGAATCCATCACGATCTTCTAGATCTGACCACTTTATTGTTGGAGGAAGCCAGAATCTTTCCAACCAGAACCACTCTTTAAACGTCTGAAACATTCTAGACAAATGGGAAAAGAATACATTAGACTTGTCAAATTAATACTTCAGTTTTCCACTATGGAATTTCACTCAAAATACGTAAAGTAGAACTTGAGAAAGCAAGCAGTGGGTCCCCTGCATGCCACAAGGCGGCTATGCCAATCAGAGGCAAAGTGACCTCTCCCACTCCCTCCAACCCTGGGCAGACACAGCTCTGCAACTCAGCGCTGGAGACCAGAGCCCGCCCTTGTTCCAGCCCACAGTCTGGCCCTAGAGCAGGAACATGCACACAGCTCTGCAATCAGAGCACACTTCGGGATGGACAGGCTGTAGGGCCATCCAGAGCATATAGTAATCAGCGCAGTTGGTCAGAATGGAAAGGCATGGAGAAGAGGAGATGCTGCTGGTGACATTCCCATGGGGTCTCATCGGGTAGAGAGTAAAAGAGTTAAAGGAAGGCCGAAAGAGAAGTGAGATCTACAGAGGGAGAGGGGGAAAAGAAAAACTAGAAAATTCAGGGCTGTGAAGATGGCTCAGTGGTAGAGCGCTTACCTCACATGCATGAGGCCCTGGGTTCGATTCCTCAGCATCACATAAACAGAAAAAGCCACAAGTGGTGCTGTGGCTCAAGTGGTAGAGTGCTAGCCTTGAGCTGAAGAGCTCAGGGACAGCGCCCAGGCCAAGAGCTCAAGCACCATGACTGACCAAAAAAAAAACCAAACAAACGTAGAGAATTCAAAACACTGGAGGTCAAAGAATGAGTGTGGAGTGAGTAACAACACAGCCAGGAGAGGGACAGATGGACAGTAGGCTACTGCAGTGACTTCAGGCAAGGTGGGGCCCACATCCTTGGTGACAGCATTCCCCACCCCATCTCATTCTTACCCCCTGTTCACAGTGCACCTCAAGGCTACAGCCTTGGGAAATGCTGCCTTCTTTTTCATGGAGTATCATGTCAAGGCCGGTGAGCTACAGAGGAAGTTACTGAAACCCACTTCTCCTACAGACATCCTAGGAGACACCCTGACTTCTATCTGCTCCCCCGTGCCTCCCATGGTCACTCCTCCTCGGGGTCATTAGTGGTCAGTAGGCACGGTGGAACCAAACGCATCCTTGGCCTGACTTTTGTGCAACAAACTCGTACTTAAGGCTGGCATCTCACACATGCACAGACCCGTCCCCCAAATCCCACTGTTGTAACTGTGAACTCAGCTGCACCCTCCAGATCCTAGAACGCAGGAATTTTCCTAACTGGGTGTTCGCTCTGAGCCGCCCACCTCCAGCCACTGTTTCCCTTGGCAGTGCACTTTGCCTCTATTAAGCTCCCGCCTTGCCACTTTGTTGTTGTGTATGTGTGTGTCTTCATTTAATCCTTTGTTGGAAACATCAAGAATCTGGGATCTTCACCTCGGCAACTGCACACCACTAACAATATCACCACCTAATTTCTACCCTGACAGGGAAATGTGAGTCCCATTTATACAGACTGAGCAAATGGGGTGAAGATTTCAAGTGAGATGCAGAGGTGTTGGGCTTCTTTGGATAGAAAAGGCATGAAGGGATGGTGCAGGGAGAAGGGAAGAAGTTCAGGGAACTTCTGGTATCCACTAGACATCTGTAAGCCAGTGGGTAGCAGTAGGCATAGGTGACGATCACTGGTCTGCCAGCCTCTCTGCCACCTTTTTAACCTCTCAAGAGGAGATCAAAGACTAAACAGAAATGCGAGGAGGAGATACTGACAGGTGCTCGCTGCTGCTCTTCCAGGACACTTCAGGCTAATGGGGAAATGACTAACATTCTCATAACCCTTTGAAAGCTGTTCCTAAAGCTCTGAGCTTGTGCTCGCCTGTAGCCGCCTAGACAGGCCACTTTGGATGTAGTGTCCAGTCCTCAGAAAGGGCAGGGAAAGTCACCACTGTGTATAAATAAAATCAAATAAAAATGAAGAAAATAAAAATCTAAGCCTGGTGATAGTGGCTCATGCTTGAGGTCCTAGTTACTCAGAAGGCTGAGATCTGAGGATCAGAGGTCAAAGCCAGTCAGGCAGAAAAGTCTGAGAGACTTTTTTCTTCAATTAACCATCAAAAAGCCAGAAGTGGGGCTGAACCTTGAACAAAATAGCCAAGCAAGAATGTAAGGCCCTAAGTTCAGGTCTCAGACTGGCAAAAAAATTAACTAAGATAGATAAATAAATGGACCGTTGCCAAGTGCTCAGTGTATGTTCAATGTCTCCACTTGGAGTCCTCTTGGAAGCAAACATATGCATTTACTCCTGGGATCCACTCAGTTCCCTTATTTCTGTCCAGCCACTTCATCCCTTTTCTTATGTACTATGCATTGTCTGAGTATCACAATTTTTATTGATATCAACTTATTTTAATTAAGTATAATTGTTATTGACTCAATTCTGAGACAATTTTAAGAGAATAAATAGTATTTAAGTATTTTAAATAAGAACTATTTACAGCCAGGCATGGTGACTCACAGCCATAATCATACCTTACTCAGAGAATCATAGCTCAAGAACAGCATAGATAAAAATTCACAAGATGTCCATCTCAGCCAATGAGAAACTGAGGTGTGGTGATACACAGCCATCACACCGGCTACAAACAGGAAGACTGAGGTCCAGGCTAGCTTATGAACACATGTGAGACCCTATTCACTAAAAGAATGAGACTAGAAAGGGCTAGGGTCATGGCTCAAGTGTTAGAGCACCTGCCTGGCAAATACAGGCTCTTGAGTTCCAACCCCAGGACTAGAGAGACAGAGAAACAGAAAGAAGTCGTATTTACAAGGAAAGTGTGTGCAGTTACTTTCTTGTACTGTGAGAGAAGCATTAATCATGTGGGGGACACCCAGACCCTGCTGCGTTTTCACATCTGTAAAGGCGAAATCCACCCAATTCACTTCCAGCAGCCAAAACTTCACAGGAAGACAGTCTAATGGGGGGGAGGGGGCGGCATGGAGCGGGGGTGGGGGGAGGGATTTAATTTCTCATTAGCTCTGACCCTGGGAGTATAGAACCCTGTGAGCCATTTTCTAGGTGGGCATCATTGAATTTGACCTTAGGACTGAAGACCACAAGTCTGTCCCCATTTGTCACCATTTGAAGCAGCATTTTTGTAACTACCAAAAATGACAGCATTGCAACTTTGCAGAGGAAGCAGTTCAATACCAGGCTCCGGTGTTGAGCAGCTTCTGGAAAGTGTCCTTCCATCCTCTGCTTTAATAGCACACCAGCTGGAGACATCATGAAGGGATGTCTCTCAGCCAGAGGACAGTGACAAAGAACATATCCACAGAATAGAAGTGGTAGAATAGAACCAGTACTCTCAAAAGTAGAATAGGATATCTCTTAGCTAGAGGACAGTGAGAAGAAATGGGAGGTTGGTAGACAAGTCAAACTAAATAAAGACAGAGCCCTGAGAGAGGAAGTGAAAGAAACTCCTGGATCACACAGGAAAATGTGCCATTAGTTGGAGGGGGTGTGCAAGTGTGTGACCAGCTAGGTTAGAGGTGAATGAGTTATCAGGGGACACCAAGTCAACGCCAGTACAGTTGAGTACCTTGTCTGTCTTGTCTCTGACTGTCCATGGAAACCTGTATGAATGCACCAGAGTGCACAGGCTACAAGAGAGTTTTCACCAACAGAAAGTGAACTACAGCCAAAACCAAGGATGATAAGTATTTGAAAACAACTTTGTTTTTATTGGCTGCAAAATATCTTTAAAATTTGATTCTGACATCAGATAAATGTATTTATTGATGATTAGTTTGTGTTTTCTTCGAAATTCATTCTAATTCTACAACGTACACTGTAACCAGTATATTTCCGATATCAGGCAAAGGAAAACATTATCAGTTACTTGCTTCCTGTGAGCAGAACTAAGAGTAAGCCAGCTACAAATTCCCGTCCTAAAAGCACTTAAACTTGTGCTGTGTCAAATAAATAAGAAAACGCAAATGATAGACGAGGTACTGTGACTCAGTACATAAGAAGCATAAATTCCTCCACTTATAGGTATAAGAAAATAAAAAAGGAAAATACCTCCTATGTTCAGTGAAGGGAAGTAATTAACATGAAAGACAATAAATAATTCCCTCACTCAAAATTTTACAATTATGTCAACTTAAAGCCTCAAAGAAATTCAAAACAGCCTTAGGGATTTAAAGAAAGAAAAATTCAAAGCAGACACTGGGGGACAGTGCCAATCTCAGAGTTCAAGCCCCACTTCAGTCGCTCTCCCAAAAAAAGATTTTTAAAAAATCAAAGCATTAGGATCTAAAACATAGTAGCACTTCAAAGAAGTCCTTGAAGGCTAGCCAAATACCCCAAATACCCATTGATTCCATCCCCAATCTGACTTCACCTGGGCACCAGGCAGTGGGCATGTGTGACACAAAGTCTGAGAACTGGAGATGAGCAAATGGACAGAACAACTTTCCAACCGTTTGTTTATTTGCTTATATTTTTGTTTTGTCAATCTTGGGACTTGAACTCAGGGCTTGGACACTATCCCTGAGCTCTTTTTGCTCAAGATTGGTGCTCTAGCACTTTGAGCTATAGTGCCACTTCCAGTTTGTTGGTGATTCATTGGAGATAAGAGTCTAATGGGGACTTTCCTGCCCAGGCTGGCCTGAAGCAGTCCTCAGCCTCCTGAGTAGCTAGGATTTCTGGTGTGAGCCATTAGCACCTGGCCCAACTGGTTCTCTCATCATTGTCTACTCATGGTGCCAAAGAAATAAACACCACTGTAATTGCCAGTTCTCTTTATTCTAACCATTTGGGTGGTAACCCTAATACATAGGGAAGATTGTAAAGGAGCCATAAGTAAGAACAATTATTTATATTACTTCTAGGTAATTATAAAATCTGGAGATGTCTATTCATCAGCAAGTACCATGAGCAGAATACAAGTGCTAGCCCTTGACAGTGAGAAAACTTTGGAAATATTTCTGATACAAAGAAACTGTATCAGAATACGCACCTTTATACATAAAGCTATATAACTCAA